AGTGATGCCCCCCTAAAAGAATAATCAATTAGTGACCTCTTGGGTGGATCTCTACTTATGCAGATTTGGGAGAAATTATCTAATCAATTCTAAAACTATTGTATAGATACTAATTCAGTCCTAAATTTTCTAATTTTTGTCAATTGAGTCATAAATCTTTATGTGAAATTCCAATTTAGTTTTTTCAACCAATTTTTGCTGAAAATTTCTAATGTGGCGGCGTGCCACGTAGGACAACCAGCGATGACTGGACTGCCATGTTAGTGATTTCTCGGGAAAATTGGCCGGAATGACTATATTGAAATTTTATGCAAAGGTTTAGAACTAAATTGGTAAAATCGAAAATTTTAGGATTGAATCAGTATTCATATAATAGGTTTAGGATTAATAAGGTAATTTTCCACAAGGATTTGGGTATTACAAATTCCTATTAGTTTAAAAGATGGCTCTCACCATGTAACACTTTAATTATTCACTTTTAGAGAGATACATTATCCCAATGTAGGTGTCCGAGGATATTGTCGAAAATTACCGATGCAATTCTCAATTCGTTACATGTTCCAAATATTTTTTTTTCGTCAAAAGAGATTTCCATTCATTACTAAAATGATACATAAAATGATCCATATAAAATCTCAAAAGTCATCATAAAAAGGCAAGTCCATAAAACTCCAAAACAAACCAAAAACCAGAAATCAAGGTACATCATTAAAGCACTATTGACAAAGATAATCACATGCTCGTCCTTCAAGAACAGATCTGCGATTGCATCCAAGCAAAAGGATCGGCGATTGATCACTGAATCACATATATTCATCAGTGATGAGCACACTCCGAGATCTCCATATGTAGTTATGGTTTTGCCTTTTGACGGTGTGCTTCCCCAATACCATCACCGTACGGAGACAACAGAAACATGTTGAACAAGCTCAGATCTTACACCTATGAGAACAAGCTCTATAGCAAGTGCGAGACGCCAAAGCTTTTAACAAAAACACGTTGAATAAGCACAAATTTGACACAAGAGCTGCTATGAACACCGTTGAAATTGGAGGCGGAGTACTTATTCATTAAAACTCCAAAATCTAGAATTAGATAGGAGAGAAAAGCTCTCCGATCTAATATCGGGAGAGTAAAACTCCCAAATCTAAAAGCAAGAGTCATATAACAACTTATAGCAAGTGCGAGACGCCAAAGCTTTGAACAAAAACACATTGAACGAGCACAAATTACACACAAAAGCTGCTATGAACACCATTGAAATTGGAGGCAGAGTACTTATTCATTAAAACTCTAAAATCTAGAATTAGATAGGAGAGAAAAGCCCTCAGATCTAATATCGGGAGAACAAAACTCCCAAATCTAAAAGTAAGAGTCATATAACAACTTGTTGCACTACAATTTTTAACCACGATGTCCCTTCTCAAGTAATTGGAAAATTTGCGATTTGACCCAATCAATCAATATCAATTTAAAGATCAACTTAATATAGCCTTCCGACGCTACAAAAAGCACGTAACTCGAATTTCTAACGAAGAAAATGTCGTAATTTTCACGGCCGCCAACTGTTAGGCCCGATCCCGGGAAGTCCGCGATCCCGACACTTTTTCAATGATCGGATCACATCGTCAGAAAACAAGCTTCCCGTGGATGCGAAAAATCGGGTCAATCACATGTCGGGCAAAAAAAGATGCGCTCGGTCAAAATTTGGCCAACTCTTAACGAGTTTAAAAATACAAAGATGGCCGCTAGCATTGGATCAGCGCCGGGCCGTGGTGGCTCAGCGCCACGTAGCGCCGGCTCGATGTGTCCTGGCATCTGTGTTGTGAGGCCCAACAAGCCATGTCCGCTGTGCAGCAGGCCTTGCAGCATTTCCCCTATAATGCAAAATCTTCACGATAACAAAGGTAATCTCACTCCTCTCACTCTGAATTTGTGAATTCTCTCCCTTGATTTGTTCCAAATCGTAGATTATTTTCTTATGGAGGAATTCCGGTGTTTTGGAGGTGGTCCCCGTCCGAGAAAGGAGGCATAACCGTTCTTTTAGATAAAATCGATAAAATAATGCAAGAGTTCAATTGGAAATTCTTATAAATGTATTCATGGTTCTGCTTGCTCGAGATAGAATTTTGATGAATATAGAGGCTATTATGATTGATCTAAGAAAATACAGTCGTTGTCCTACGGAGTAAAATCTAGGAAATTTCGTATATTATGTAGATCGTTATTTATTTGTTGGAATGCTTGCGATAGAAAAATCCCTTGCATGTAAACCAACCGTAGATCAAAATACCGAGGGTATTGGTTCGGGCCGACCAAACACCGGGGGGCTAATAGGCGCCCTGTCATGAACTGAGGCCCCTGTACATGTCATCTTTTCTTGAAAATGTTTTCCGAAGATATAATTATTATCCTAATTAGAAACACATTATTATATGTATGATCGACAGTATGAAAGTCATTCCGGTCTAAAGTTTGGGGTTTTTTAGGGAATTATACTCAATATCAAATGAGAACAGTTAGCAATTTACTCTATATATTCTCATTCAGGATATTCATCATATAAAAAAGGAAGAAATTAGTTTTCCAATATTCTTTGCACAGATATAAGTTATAGAATATTGCTTGTCTTCCAAGAAATTACATACCCAATTTATTTATACTTCAATTACCAAATACTTTAATAGTCTGACAACAAAATTTTTTGTGGCTATTAACTTTCATTCAGAATTACCAACCTAAATTTAACTAATGTACTCGCATTCGTAACAATAAGATACCAACAAATTTTAGTCAACCTCAATTTAACTAATGTACTCGCAGTCGTAACAATAAGATACCAACTAATTTTAGTCACTTACCAACTTTTTATTTTGTTTGGCTTTGAAAAGTACGAAACTTACCAACTATTTTGATAATTTACGAACATTGTTTTGTAGCGTACCATCGTGTTAAGCTGCCTATATTATAAGTAAGTTACTAACTTTTATTCTGAATAATACCAACGGGCTAATTCCCTAACAACCCCCAACTTTAGATCAAATTTCAAATTTGCATCAAACTTTTAGAAAAAAGATCCCCAACTTTCATACTAATCCCAAATCTATCTACGTGCTTAAAAATTGACACTGGTTTCTTTAAGATTATTAACATCAGGAGGCTACTATTGTTCCATATGAAGGCGAGGGTGTTAATGAAGACACGGGTTCTAATAGCGAACCTCTAACTGGCTTTGATATTGGTAATTTTGAAGAAACAAATGGTGATTTTTGGACGCTTGAGTAGATTTGGGACTAGAGGGGAAGTTTAGGATTTTTTTAGATAAAAAGAGTTTGGGGAGGGATTGGAATCAGACCTAAAGGTGATGGTTTCTTTTAGGGAATAAGGCCTAATACCAACATTAATTTATGTGGCTAAAAGTACCAACTATTTCAGTACTCGTCCAACATTTCTTTGTGGCTTACCAACGTGTTTAATTTACTAATTTATATACAAAACTATTCACCTTTTGATTGATTTACCAACATTCTTCATATTACGATACTAATTAATTTCGGTCATTTACCAATTTTTTTTACCTCGCTTAATTTTGTAAAGGTGCCAATATTTATTTATACTTCCAAATTTACGAACTATTTTAGTAATCAACCAACATCTCTTTTTGTGGCTTACCAATATGTTAAAGTTACTAATTTATATACAAAATTACCAACCTTAATTTGACCGGTTTACTAGCATTTGTCACCTTAGTTAACAACTAGCTTTAGTTATTTACCGACCTTTTATTTTTTGGGTTAATACCACGAAAACCCCAAACTGGTACACTATGATAAATTTATCCCAAACTAATTTTTTGACCACAAAAAACCCAAAATTAGTATATCTATGACAAATTTACCCTTCGTTAGTTTCCGTTAAATTGGATTAATATCACGAAAATCACAAATGAGGTACACCTATGACAAATGGAGGGTAATATTTCAAATTGGTATACTAGTCAACTGCCACGATAGTAAAATTTAACGGAAACTAACATAAAGTAAATTTGTTACAGGTGTTCCAATTTAGTGTTTTTCATGATATTAACCCTTATTTTTCTTGGTTTTAAAAAGTACCAACATTTATATATACCTCCTAAAATTTCCAATGATTTCACTAGTTTGTCAACATTTATTTTTGTGGCTTACCATGAAGTTACAAAATTCTATGCGAAATTAATTTGATTGATTTACCATCATTCGTCACACACAAGTTACCAAATAACCTATAACTAATTTCAGTTACTTACCAACTTTTACCTTGCTTAATTCGAAAAGTACCAAAATTTATTTATACTTTCAAAAATACCAACTGTTTTATTGAGCCACCAACATTTCTTTTAGTGGCTTATCGACTCGTTAAATTACTAATTTATATACAAAATCACCAACATTATTTTATTTTATTTGACAACAGTCGTCACTTTTATGTTCCCAATTCATGATAGTAACTTATAAACTTTTTACTTGTTTTGAAATTACCAAAATTCGTCAACATTAAGTGACCAACTATCTTAAGTCATTTATCAATTTTTATCTTGTATGGTTTTGAAAACTTTTAATTTATATATACTTCCAATGTTACCAACTACTTCAATAAAATATCAATATGTATTTTTAATGGCTCACCAACCTTGTTGAAGTTACTAACTTTTATTCGAATTACACACCATAATTTGATTAATTTACAAACATTTTCCAACATTGAGTTATCAACTATTTTAGTTACTTAGCAACTTTTATTTCGCTTGATTTATAGTAGAACAAACATTTATTTTTACTTCAAAAATTACCAACTATTTTGAGAATCTACTCATATATTCTTTTTGTGGCTTACCAACATGTATGTTTAGCTAAATTTGCATATCGGCGATGTTGATAATTTGTAACTCACAAAGATCGACGTTAAACGACACCAAAGAAGGGCCTAGGAATAGCACTTCCTTTATTCTCGATATGTAATTGTTAAAATTCAAAACGTTTAATCAATAATGGCGAAAGTTGATGATGACATATTCAATTTGTATACTCCTAATTGTTATGGAGTATATCTATAAATAACTTTCGTTTTAATCCATCCATCTTAGGAACAGCCATTTGGACCAAAGCCTAGCTTTCTTCCAGCAACATCATACACAACTTCAAACGTTTTCTGCTGCACATTACCATAAATGACCAGATCACTATCAGCACCATTCGCTGCAAACGCTAGGCAAACTTGTGAGGCCCTCTCGACGTAAAATATCCCGCTAGGGTCCAAATCGATGTCTACTCCCTCGGCGAAAGAGAATGTTATCGATGGGATCACGACTATGCTCTCTTTGCTAAAGTCATAGCAAGTATCGAAAAGGGAAACTGCCGGGCCTGTCGTGTAATTTGCCATCGCTTTCCTGAATGCGGTTCGCAAGGCGCTATAGGCTGTTGGAGGCAATCGGGTAATGACAGTTCCCGAGTCGATGATGGCACCTCCACTTGAAAAAACCGTCGATGGTATTGATAGAGGATTTCCTTCTACACTAATTCCTACGATACTTATTCCATAGAATTGTGAGCTTTGTGGGACCATAGATAACGGCGTGAAGCTAACTGAGCTCGGTGCTCCGCTGTCCTTGCCGAAAGTCAAGTGTCCAGTGGAGCTAGTGGAAGAGGGCAAGCAGTAGGAGAAATACTTGCCATATTTGGCCGCAGTTTGTTCCACGATGGAGATATTGTTGTCTGAGAGTCCAATCAACCCTGCGGCTCTGCCAAAGAGGCCTTGGTTGTTCTCACCGCAGCCAAATTTGAAATTGTCGATCAACTCTGTGGGCGATATGGTCAACTTCTCAGTTGCGAAGAAGCCTATCGAAGACGAATTGTCGCCATATCGGATGGAAAATAGACATGTCGATCCGCTGCATTGTGAACCACCTAAAGATCCAGAAGCACAACACATTGCTTTAATTACATCTGGTTATTCTTTCTTGTGATTGGTTTTAACTTTGAAAAACAGAAGTCTCATCTACGCTTGAAGAACATTCTAGTATGGACATCATGAGAATTAAGTATCTAAAGCATAGTTGATATTACCGAGGACGGAAGTAAGTTGAGAGCATGATTTTGAGCCGCACGAGACATTAGCATAGGACGATGATTGCGATGGGTTAAAGATTGGGTCAGACTGACTGTAGCAAGATCCCACGCAAGGCTTGCACTGGGTCCACGTGAGAGGGCTGCCGGTGTCGAAAATGAGAGTGAGGTCCTTTTTTGGCGTGCCAAGGCCGACCGTCACTAAGTAGTTGCCAGTGCCGATGGTGATGCCAGACTTCGCTGGAAGACGGGCCACTGCCGAAGCTTTTAGGCTGTCGCTGCTGTTGGAGGATTGGGACTGGATCCACTTGACCCTTGATTCATCTTGGAGCAGGATTTTGGTGTGATTCAGAGGATTGTGGTCTTGAACAAGCTGAGAGCATGGGCCATGCTTGTGAATTACCTCCATGGTCGACTTTCGGTTGCTAGCTAAAAGCATGTCATGTGAGAGAAAGAGAGATTAGATGGGTAAGTTGATAACCACAGGTCAAAAGAACAATCCCTTTTTCCATTCAACAAAGACTTCGGTTTGGTCTGGCCAACCTCTTAAACATGTATTCCCATTCTCTCCTTTCATTTCTTTAATTATTTTCTCATTTTCTAACCATATTAATTCAATTGGATCAAAAGACTTAGCTTCTTGAATGCGACAAATCCATATGATCACCATCACTGTATGACCAAGTCCCGGACTAAATGCAATTTAAATTAATCGGCGCGAGCTAACACAAAAGAGACGGATCACCCGCCTATGTCTTCTTCTAATCACCCTCTCACCTCTTAATTTCCTCATTAACAGTTTAAAGTGAAGCCAACTTAGCCAACTTTGATCAGAACCAAACAAAAGTATCTGTGTGAAAAATAAGAAGGATTCCATGGTAACTCACTGGTGCAAGGCATGACTTGAGAGAGAGAGAGAGAGAGAGAGAGAGAGAGAGAGAGAGAGAGAGAGAGAGACCCACCTTTGGTAGTGGAAGGTGAGCAAGAAGGAGAAGGCAATAGAGAGCTAACTGACACAGTGTGGCTTGCAATCTTCCCTTCTACTCCATAAGTATAACCTTGGTGCATGAAGCAAGTCATGAGGACGTGGAGAGAGAGGAAGAGGAGAACCCTCTTAAACACACAGAAAAATGAGCCCTCCATCGATCAGATACCAATAGGAAGTAAAATGTACAAGTTTCTGCCAAGAATGCTCTCTCGTTCAGCCTCTTATATAAGATTTTTCGACCGGCAATCGTGCATTAGAATAGAAAGCCACACACGTCATCCTTTTAATATTAATAAATTTTTTTCGGTCTTATGTTATATGTAGTTCTAATGACTTACTGAAGGACCGACCCACCATTAGGAATTAGTCTCCTTCCTCCCCTTGACTTGATAAACGACAATTATCGAACACGACAGCTGGTCAAATATCTAAAGATTAACAAGTTTATCTTCGATCCCTGACGGGAGAGAGTCTAATCATACTTCTTATTGATGGGTCAATAGTAACTCACATATAAACTTAGTCAAAATAAAATGTGGCTGATGTTTATACTTGTAACTACTAATTAGAAATATGGTTTGAGGGATTTTCCTCTAATAAGAGTTATAGGAAAATACGTCCCAAAAGAAAATAAAAGGGGATAAACTATAGAGTCCACTCGTGTATCATTATGTGATTTTATGCTAATTGAAGGGTGCGTTTGTTTAGTGGAAAATGAATGATTGGAAAAATAGTTTTCTCAAAATGATTGCTGGTATCACTTGAAATAATTATTCAATGAAAAATATTTCATTATCCACGAAAATGTTCAAACATAAATTATTGCTGATCGTGGAAATATTTTTCATTGATAATTATTTCAAGCGACATAAGCGATCAATTTTGAAAAAAATATGTTCCAAATCATTCATTTTCTATGAAATCAACGAAGCCTAAAGAGAAAATACAATGGGAAAGCAATGTAAGCTATGATGCTTATGGGGTAGAATGTCGAGTAGTTAATTATTTATTTTTATATTTCGGAACCACCTTGGTAAGTTATAGTAGCGAAGTACATGGGATGTGTTCAAAAAAAAGAAGTACACGGACCGTTTCCATTACGTTATTCCTCAATTTAGGCGCGTTTTGTGTAGGTGTAATTATTTATTAAAGGAAGAAGACGCGGCTAAGGCAGTAGTTGCCTCCCTCCGCTCTACTTTTGTAGACAGATTATTAACAACTATTGTGCAGGAGAGCCTGCCAATTGTCTGAAGAGATCAACAGAAGAAGTCAAAGGAGACCGTAGACCAATTCACCCGTTCTAGAATTACTACTTTCTTAGCCCCAAAAAATTCCTTTTTATTTTTTTTACGATGCCACTCAAACTTTAGGACATAATAGTATGCCCAACAATACTTTACTGGATAGATCATTGAGTAATTATTGATTAAGTACCAACATATGCGCCCCAAAGTAAGCGTAGCGAGACGAGGGTTTTGTCAAATGCGTGAATAGGAGAGAAGACATGGTTACGAAACGGGTCTGCCTGGTGAACGGCAAGTGTCGCTCTGGTTGAAGACGAGACGAAACAAGCTCCTTCGAGATGAATTGGTCGTGTGGGACGAAAGACCTTCAGATGCTCCGACGACGTGACAATCTGAACAAGAGGATGGAGACCAATGTGAAAACAAGTGGGAAACGATCCAAGAAGCAACGAAGAAAGATATAGAAAGACTTGATAGAGAATAAAGTGCAACCACGTACACGTAAATCTCGTCAAATTAGATTCCAAAAGTACCAATGAGATTGAAGTGTTCGAGCCCACAAAGGCATTATGGTCTAGACATTATCAGCACTTTCACATTTGCCCCCATGAAGAAACTCCAGTGAACGACGTCGATCTCACGGTGTGTTAAATCAAACTTTTAGGGACAGAATGGGATTGTGCTTTGCGTGCAAATGGCGGGTGCCTCGCAAGTCACGAGTTCACATCACTCAGCTCGGTTTAATTTGCTGAACCAGCTAATTCCGAACCCATGACGTAACCGGATGGATCGAACATGATATAGACAACGAGAAAAAAGTGAATGAGCAATATAACAAATATTACGGGAAAAGTGCCAAAAAAGTTCAAAACCTTTTGCATTGGTGTCAATTCAGTCCTAAACTTTTTTTTGGTGACAATTCAGTTCTAAACCTTTTGCATTTGTGACAATTCAGTCCTAAACCTTTTTGTCTTTATGCCAATTCAGTCATTCCGGCCAATTTTGGCCGGATTTTGCTGGTGTGGACATCGGCCGGTCACCGGCGCTGACGTGGACAACTTTTAATAATATATTTAACATTTTTTTTTATTTTTTTCCTTTTTTTTTCCCTCCCTCCTTCCTCCAGCTGGTCGTCGGATCGGCAACCGGCCACTAGCGAGGCTCACCCTCGCCAGCGACGGCAAAGGCGAGCCTCGCCATGGCTAAGCGAGGCACGACCTCGCCGGATTTGGCACGGTTGTGCCTCGCCCAACGGCCGGCGCGATTGTGCCTCGCCCAACGGCCGGCGAGGCTCAACCTCGCTAGATCTGGCAAGGTTGGGCCTCGCCCAAGATCCGACGAGGCTAACCGGAGGCTACGACGAAGGCCTTTGGCGAGGGCTCAAGCCTCGCTGGCCGCTAGGCGAGGCACGACCTCGCCAGATCTAGCAAAGTCTAGCCTCACCCAGCCATAGCAAGGCTCGCCTTCGCCGTCGCTGGCGAGGGCGAGCCTCGCCAGGGGCCGACGAGGTTGACCTCACCGGCGGCTGGGCGAGGCACGACCTCGCTAGATCTAGCGAGGTCGCGCTAGTGGCAGGCGAGGTCCTCGCCGGCTTCTGGCCTTTGGCCTATCACCGGTCCGGCGACCGGCTGGAGGAAGGAGGGAGGGGAAGAAAAAAAAGGAACAAAATAAATAAAAATTCAAAAAAATATTAAAATATTATTAAAAGTTGTCCACGTCAGCTCCGTTGATCGGCCGGCCGGCGTCCATGTCAGCAAAATTCGACCAAAATTGGTCAAAATGACTGAATTGGCACAAAGACAAAAAGGTTTAGGACTGAATTGGCACAAATACAAAAGATTTAGGACTGAATTGACACCAAAAAAAGGTTGAGGACTAAATTGGCACAAATGCAAAAGGTTTAAGACTGAATTGGCACCAAAAAATAGTTTAGAACTAAATTGGTACAAACGCAAAAGATTTAGGACTTTTTTGGCACTTTTCCCCGAATATTACAGCCACTTAATTCATTGGAACACTCATGGATCATCATCTTGCGGAACGATTCACAGAAACCCAAGCATAAGCTAATGGGATGGGATTGATTGAAAGTATGGGCATTATGCGACTTGGGGATCAAGACAATATGACTATAATTTAAGGGAACATATCACATGTGTGTGGACCTGTTAAACGGATGAATCGGATCGGGTTTGTATGGATTGATTCTCAATGGATCGACCCAAATAGACATATTCTTATGTAACAGACGTCATTTCATCAAGGGTTGTCCACATTAGTTTGTCAGCCGTGTAGTGTAGGTAGCCGGCGACAACTGGACGTCACGTTAGTGCTTTCCAACGGCAATTGCTTGGAAGGACAATATTGAAATTTTGCGCAAAAGTTTAGAACTGTATTGGCAAATTAGAAAATTTAGAATTGAATTGGTTTTGCGACCTTCCTCAAGGGAAACCACAAAAGGAAAGCTAATGGACAATCAGGTGGGCACAAATGGTTATTCATTAAAAAGATGGTATCATCGCTGAGCACGCACTCTCCCAAGCCCATACCAATCGCATATTAGAGTCTTAATCTAAACACATAATATATCTTACCTTTTGGAGCCACCACTAATCGGTTATAGGTCAATTAGACAACCAAATAAAATGCGAAAGTGCATTTTACTTATGCAAACTAGAGATTCATGGATATTGGGATTTGATTACGCTATAGTCATCTAACGCCCTTTCAGTACATTTTCTCTTTATTTTGAAAATGTTTTACATGTAATCTTTGTCGGTTTTAATCCTAAACCACTAACATGTGATGGATGATCATGTGGGTATGTAAACAATAAAGTAACACTTAGTAATCAAAATAGTAAATAAAATTAAAGGTGGAAGAAACTGGATGCATGAAGCATGCAAAAGTATAGTTTTCGTCTCGCTCAATGAAAACAGGAATGCTACAAATTTTGTCTACACGTTATGCCTATATGCATCCTAATCTAACATGCATTGATGAATTAAGGTCAAGCCCTAAATGACATGCATTCTAAACTATGTGACTATTATTTTTTATGTTTTCTTTTATGAAAATAGAGAATTCAACCCTAGGACACTAAATATGAACGGATGACTTTTATTTATTAAAAGAACAATGGTTTAATGATGCAATGCTAATTCATTTTTTTATTTTCCTTTTATAGTGACCTACATGCATGAGAAGCGCTAATTAATTATTGCTATCTACAAGAAATGCTTATTGAGAATTAATCCTAAAAAATATATGACTCTCTAAATGACGTATATGTGACATGGACGTTATAGAACTAATTATTACTTAATTCTATAGCTAAATGTAATCTACGTGAGACATTAATGATTTTTTTTTTTGGAATTTTCTTGATGAATTAGAAATAAGAAATTATCCTATATCTATAGTAAGGGAGAATTCCAAATAAGGGCATGAAGTGTCTTCATTTTCTCAAATAAAGGCCTGAAGAAGACATTGTCTCAAATAAAAGCATGAAGTGCCATCATTTTCTTAAATAAGGGCCTAAAGTGGCATTATTTCAAATAAAGGCTTAAAGTGGCCATGGCAGTCTCAAATAAGGGCTTGACCTCATTGGCTGGTCGCCGGCCCTCGCCCCGGTCTGGGCGAGGGCTGGCGACCCTTGTCTAGATTTGGGAGAGGGTCGCAGCTCTCTCCCGCTTCTAGCGAGGGGTTGACCCTTGCCTTTGGTCGGCACCCAAAATGCCCTTGACTAGCCAATGAGGTCAAGCCCTTTTTTTAAACTGACATGGCTACTTTATGCCATTATTTGAAACAAGATCAACTTCAAACCCTCTTTTTTTTGCTAAAACATCAACTTCAAACCTTTATTTGAGAAAATAATAGCACTTTAGGCCCTTATTTGGAATTCTCCCTCTACAGTAATGACCTAAATTTTTTTTTTAC